TGAGGGTATGTCCAATGATTGCCCAACGCTATAGTACAGATTGGTGTGTTTTGTAATTAACCAGTTAGCTAAGATCATGCAGATGGCATATGGGCTTCACTATGCTTTACATTGTCCTGTGCAGTTTTTGGCCCGGCCTAGTTGATCAGAACAGAACAGAATGACAGAGTTGGAAGGGACCTTGGAGGTCTTCTAGTCCAACCCCCCTGCTTAGGCAGGCAACCCTACATCACTTCAGACAAATGGTTATCCAATCTCTTCTTAAAAACTTCCAGTGTTGGAGCATTCACAACTTCTGGAGGCAAGTTGTCCCACTGATTAATTGTTCTGTCAGGAAATTCCTCCTTAGTTCTAAGTTCCTTCTCTCCTTGATTAGTTTTCACCCATTGCTTCTTGTCCTGCTTTCAAGGTGTTTTGGAGAATAGGTTGACCCCCACTTCTTTGTGGCAGTCCTTTAGAGATTGGGGCACTGCTACCACGTCATTCCTTAGTCCTTCTTTTCATTACACTAGTCATACCCAATTCCAGCAACTTTTCTTTATATGTTTTAGCCTCCAGTCCCTTAATCATCTTTGTTGCTCTTCTCTGCACTCTTTCTAGAGTCTCAACATCATTTTTATATTGTGGCCACCCAAATTGAATGCAAGTTGGTGAACGAATATTACCTGGCTTCCTTCTCATTTTTGCTTTTTGGAGTGAAGGAAACAAAACGAAGAGCCACTATCTAGTAGAGTGGCCAAAGGGCACCACAGGACAGGAATTTACAATAAATTGTAAATTACAAGAAATGGCTCCAGCATTTTAGGAAGGAAGAAGAAACTCTGAGGAGCAGACCAGTGGGATGGAGCAAGTCTCCTCATCAATGACAAAAGGGTCCACCAACTCAGTTCCAGATTAAATCTTGCACCTATGCTGTCCAGTGGCGGGATTCAAATTATTTCTACTACTGGTTCTGTGGGCATGGCTTGGTGGGCGTGGCAGGGGAAGGATACCGCAAAATCTCTCTTTCCTCCCCACCCCACTAACCTGCTTTCCAGCTCCGTTCTCCTGTGCAGGACAACCAAAGAAGAACCGGCCAATCAGCTGGGACTTGGGAGGCAGAGAATAGATGGGGGCGGGACCAGTCACATGACTGTATGCACATGATACACAGCACCCCAAACAAGCCAACCCTACGTGAAAGTATCTCATGGTTTATACTTGTCTGGCTGGTTGATGGTTCAGTGTGTAGTACAGGAGTCAGCAACCCGCAGCTCTGGAGCCACATGTGGCTCTTTCATTCCCCTGCTGCGCCTCGCTGTTGCCAGTTGGCTCCACAATTGATAGGGCTTTAGGTTAGGGCAGGTAGAAGAAAAAGGATGCCATGCTAGGAGGAGACTCTATGGTGGGGAACTGGACTTCCAATTGGATCCAGAGGGGGGGCTTCTGGTTAGAACCTTTATGGCTCTTTGAGTGTTTAAGGTTACTGATCCCTGGTGTAGGACAAACCTGCAGTGTTCATTTCGGTATGGGTACCTGGGTCCTGCAGTAGCTTCTATGGGACGGAACAGAGAACACATGCCCTCCATTGTCAGCTGCACAGCTCTTCAGTGAGCCAGCAGGAAATAGCTTGTGGCTTTTACATTTATGCATGGCTATGTTGAAAAGCAGCTAATTAGAAAGAAGTGAAGCACACAGCCAATAAGTGCCCAACCCCTGAATGCAGATTGGTACATTTTGTAATTCACTAGCTGCCTAAGATCATGCAGACGGCATATGAATTTCACTGCGGTTTGCATGCCCTGCCCATTTTGTTTCACCCCTGCACAGTTGATGAATCTGATCTTTGCAAGGGAGGGGGCAAAGTTAAAAGCCAATATCTCTAAGTGATCTTGATTAATAATTTGCCCACTGCTACAGCGGTCTTGATTGAGCTCAACTAAGGCTAAAAGGAATTTCAAGCTTGCATCCAAACTGAACTGGGGTTCCAATAAAGGATAATATTTATAGCTCAAGGTTGAAATGAGGGGTCCTTGGTGCTCTCTGAGCTTGTTCGTTTTCTTGCAGACATTTCATGAACCAAATTAGGTAACATCATCAGTGCTAGAATTGGGGTGTTTAGATTAGATTAACAGAGTTGGAAGGGACCTTGTAGGTCATCTAGTCCAATCTCACCCCCTGCCCAAGCAAGAGACCCTACCCCATTTCTGACAGATGGCAGTCCAATCTCTTCTTGAAAGTTTCCAGGGATGAAGCTCCCATAACTTCCGAGGGCAAGTAGTTCCACTGATGGATTGTTCTCACTGTCAGAAAATTTCTCCTTATTTCTAGATTGAATCTCTCCTTGTTCAGTTTCCATCCATTATTCCTTGTCTGGCCTTCAGGTGCTTTGGAAAATAACTTGACCCCTTCCTCTCTGTGGCAGCCCCTCAAATATTGGAACACTGCTATCATGTCTCCCCTGGTCCTTCTCTTCACTCTTCATGTTCTTCCTATGTTTTAGTCTCTAATCTCTTAATCATCCTGGTTGCTCTTCTCTGCACTCTTTCTAGAGTCTCAACATCTTTTTTATAGTGTGGGGATCAAAACTGCATGCAGTACTCTAGGTGTGGTCTTACTAAGGCTTTATAGAGTGGTATTAGTACCTCCCTTGATCTTGACTGTATCCCTCTGTCTCTGTTAATGCATTTTAGGATTGTGTAGGCTTTATTGGCTGCCGCTGCACATTGCTAGTTCATATTTAATTGGTTGTCCACTAAGACTCCAAGATCCCTTTCACGGTTACTGCTATTATCATGGAGAAATCCATTCTGCAGAAATAGCCTTAAGCACAATAGAGCCTGATCACCGGTAAACCAGCTTAGAACTTCTTAACTTTTTAATGGTTTTTCTACATTGCTAGAAACCTGGCAATTAAAGGTCATTGAATGCAGTCATGAGGCAAACTATCTCCATAATTGTTGAAGGATATCACAAGATCAGAGAGATTGTGAAATTTCAGCTGTTGTTTTACTTTTATTTTAAATTTTGTATTTGAGAAATCAAGCTAGGAGACTCTCACAGGTGGGGTGGCCCCAGGGGTGGGATTCTACAGGTTCGCACCTATTCGCGAGAACCGGTTGTTAACATTCTAAGCAGTTGGGAGAACCGGTTGTTAGAAGAAATTACTGGCCTAATCCTGTAAGGAAGGCAGGAAGGAAACATTCTGGTGTTGCTTACAGAAACTGCCTCTCCGTTAACCCTTCTTACATTCTTGGCAGGACTAGACTTCCTGTCTCAGGAACTTCTCTGGAGTTTTTTCCCCCTCCTTTGCTGGTAACTTTGCTTGTGTGGAGTGACCGTTCGAAGTTACAATGGCACTGAAACAAGTGACTTATGACCATTTTTCACACTTACGATTGTTGCAGCATCCCAACAGTCATGAGAGGCCAGGCAAGGAGATGCGTGCCTCAATGTGAGTGATATTGAGTTGTCCACGCCCAGCAAATAACATGACCACCAAGCCATGACCACCAACTAAGCCACGCCTACAGAACCGGTTGTTAATAAATTTGAATCCCACCCCTGGTTTTTCCCCTGTGGCTTCGTGTCTGCCTTATCCTCTCCTGGCTTCTAATATACCCATCTAGAGCCTTGGTATACATCCCTGGGTGGCCCTGTGGGGTAATCTTAAATTTAGTTTGAGATGAGAATCCAGCCATTCTCTTGCAGGCTTTTCAAACTGGTGGCCCATGGGCCGGATTCATCCTGCGCAGGCCATGCCCACCCCGGCTTCGCAAAGGCAAAAAATCATCATGATATGTCACGATACATCACATGACGTGATTGAGTTTGACACCCATGCTTTACAGCAATCAGAGGCATGGGATTTTCTCCGTATTTTAGCAAAGCAAACTTTATTGAATGAAAAAAAAAACCTCAATGAAAAAATATACACAAATTATATGCAAAAAAGGTAATAAAAGTAAAGCAAATCCATAAACAATATGCCAACCATGCACTTAAACAGGAAGCAAAGGAAATGAGGATCTCGTACATCAGGGCTGTCCAATCTTGGCAACATTTAAGACTTGTGGACTTCAACTCTCAGAATTCCTCAGCCAGCCATGCTGGTTGGGGGAATTCTGGGAGGTTGAAATTCCACAAGTCCTAAAGTTGCCAAGTTGGATACCCTTGTTTTAGAAGTTCTCTTTCCTTAGTTGATAGAACATCACCTTGCATGTTAGAGGGCCAAGGTTGACTTTCTAGTCTTTCTAATTAAAAGCAGGTTATGGGAAATGCTTCTCCCTGGAACTCAGTGTATACCAGAAGAAGTTAATAAACAAATAGCACTAGTAAAAGCAATTTATACATCTTCCATAACAACCATGCATTTGGGCTTTCCACATCTTTAAAAAAATGGTGGAACTTATTGGATTGGAAGTGAATTTAATGAACTTCATTGAAAATCAAATTCATCCGGTTTTAAGACCCTATTAATTTCAATTAATGTAAATTTCCTCAAAATCTAAAGGCAGCTATGCCTGAATTCAATCCTTTTGTTTTTGAGCAAAGAAAAAAGAAACAAAAGGAACTGAGAGGCTTCCATGAAAAAAGAAAATCTAAAAAATAGTTTCCCCAAATCTTCCAGGCAGCCTCCTTTGGATATATGGTTATGGGGACAACTCAGGTTCAGTTAGGTCTATGAGTCTGATGAGAGACATGGCCTGGATTGCTATGCGAGAAACTGTCTACTTTGAAATTATTTTGTTATTTATTGATTACATTTTTATGCCGTTCATCTCCTCTATCTGGGCAGAAATAATGCTTCTGTTTGGAGAACAGTGAGTTCACATTTCCTGAAGAACACTTTCAATGATGTGACCACCAATGAGTGGAATGAATGGTGATTCGGGTAATACTGTCCTAAATGTGTCAATGTTTATTTACTTATTTGTTCAATTTATAAGCCATCTTGATTGCCCAAGCAACCTTAGGTGACACACTTATTAAACAAGTAGCAAGTATGGGTAGTGGGAGAAACAGACAGTTTTGAAAATAGATTAAATGTTGATTGAAGTGCAAGATGTTATATAGGGAAAACAGTCAGGTAGAACTTCACAGTGGAAAGCTTGCACACAACAGTTGGAGCTGTTGAAAATGACTTCAATCTCAGAATTTCTTATTTCATATTAGAAGGTCAAGGAAGTGGAGGAAGATTATCTGTAAGAAATTCGGGAAGCTGGATTTTTCAAGTCACTGTATATATCCACTCGCTGACCTTGAAGTTCCTGTGGGATCAGAAAGAGGATGTGTGCGTACATTATCATTCTCCTTTTCTCAAAGAATCCGAAGCTCTGATAAATTAGCAAAATTTTCTTTTGAGCCTGACCAGATGTCTTCAGAAAAATCAAATGCAAATCAGGCATAATATTAACCACCCATCTTCCTATTTCTCCACAATCTATACTCTCCAGAGTATAGATTATTTGAGAATGTATGAAGATTCTATTTAGCCAAGAGATGACAAAAATTATGAATTAGCTGCATTTAGTGTTCCCCTCCTTAGCAACATTTACATATTGCTACATATTGGAACTAAACAGTCAGACTTTCCGGCAAATCTGTGATAAAATTCTTAGTTATTGGGAATGCTTGGTTGACACCAACTTGATAGCACATAATCAATAACACACATTTAAGTATAGCATGTGTCATGATTGGATTCACATTGAGTTAAAACTCAACAAATCACACAGTAGCCTGCATTCTCTCTGACTCGGTTTCTACAACGTTGCAAATTCTAAACCTGGCTTAACAAAAGACAACTGTTGTGTTCAAAATAACCTGCCCAAATCATGGATGGTGGTGCAGCATGACGACAAGCTGACCCAGAAACAAACCCAGCCTTACTATTGCATGCAACCTGGCTTCTTGTAGTAGGGCCCACATTGTGTGCATGTGCATGCAATGTTAAATGTCATCAACTCCTTTTTTCTCCCTCCCAGGCTAGCAGAGAAGCTGCAGCTGTCACTCCACAACCCACAATGGAGACCACAGGAAGAAAAGTAAATATAGTGTTTATACATTATACTTACCTCATAGGGAGATTCATGCTGAGCCTTGTTTGCTAAGAAGAAAGAGAAGGCTGTGAGTGTATGAAACATATTTTTGAGATTCTACCCAAAGAGAATCAAGAGATGGGAACGGAGGTTGCGTTATCTCACTTGCTGAAATGATGCGACACTGAAACTGTGGTTAATGGTTTACTGAAAGGCTGCGGCTTCAAGCTAGGATTGCCCAACTTGAATTTTCAGACAATGCCACCTGACCTTCTTTGGGCTTAAAAATAAAAAGAGGTCCATCTGACCACGTGTTTCAGTGGACACTGACTTCCTTACCAAGACGGTTTTCTGAAGAATTCTAGCTTGTCTCTCTGCTGCCTTCCTCCATTTTAAAGCTCCTTTTATAATACTTCAGATGACAGATAGAGAGATGATTGATAGATAGATAGATGATAGATGATAGATATGATATAAATGTAGATTATAGATATAGATCGATAGATATAGATAGATCAAGAGAAGCTTTTTAACCCGTTCTCTTCCTTTTTCTCTGCTAAGAAGAAAGCACAGATCCTTCTCTTTTTCCCAAATGCATTAGGGTTGCGTTATAATCTAGAACAGTTTTTCAAGCATGGCAACTTTAAGATGGGTGGATTTCAACTCCTAGAATTCCCCAGCCAGCCATGGCTTTTGTTAAGCCATGCCGGCTAGGGAATTCTGGGAGATGAAGTCCACCCATTGTCAGTGTTCCAACTAACCAACTTCAAACCAATAAACTCTGAGACAAACAATTCCTCAAAGTTCCATTTTATTAGAGTTGCCCTATTGGCACATCTGGGAAAACCCAATTTTGAGAGTTCTGGGTTTTCCCTTCCCAAAAGAGAAATCAAAGATCCATCCCCTGCACCCATCAGTCCAACACAAGGCCCAAGCAAATCTTCGTCCCAATTGGAGACATCCCTCCAGTCGCTCCCCTCCAGGTGCAGAGCAACATGTCCTTGAAACTCTGAGAAAAGAATGTTGTTCTGTTTGGTCTTCTATCGCCCCTCCCAAGTTCCCAGGCACTGAATGTGGCAGCCTCAAAGCTCCCGAGTAAATTATGGCTTCCAAGGCTGACACCCATCTTAAAGTTGCCAAGTTTGAAAAACTCCGTTTCTACGACCTTGTCTTATGTAGGCTCCGCAGATTGTATTTGGCATGGATGGTATGCTAAAACAGTGAGGGTCAAGGCCAGCCAACACCGTCGACTTTGCCAAGTGCGCATTCAGCACACAGCCATTTGCTGTGGGCACAAAAGTCTCTTTCACTTAGATCCACGCACCATCAAGCACTGACATTTCTTCAAGGGGAAAGTGTGCACTGGGGATGTGGGAATCTCTCCTCCTTACCACTGCTGGTTGCTTGCTGTTTATAGATACAGCTGACCACGTAGTAGACTCCAAGAGCAATGAGCAAAGTCAGGAACAAATCTCCCAGCACGACTCCTGCAATGGTACCGGGATTGATCTGATAGCAATGGCCATAATCTGGGGATTAAAAAGGATAGAACCGTGAGAAGCCTAGAGACCTGCTTTCTGGGGCTTCATGTATCATTTCAGCCCTAATTTCTTGGCAATGAGAAGCTGGTTCTACCATGAGGTCCTAAGTGCTCTCTGAGCTTGGTTGTTTGCTTGCAAAACAGATGGCTTTATTACCTGGTCAGGTAACACCATCACTGCACTGATGATGTTACCTGGTCAGGTATAGTCAGATGTCAGCAGCAGTGGTGGGATTCAAATTGTTTTTACTACTGTTTCTGTGGACATGGCTTGGTGGGTGTGGCATGGTTTGGTGGGCGTGGCATGGCTTGGCTTGGTGAGCATGGCAGGGGAAGGATACTGCAAAATCCCCATTCCCTCCCTGCCCCACTAACCTGCTTTCCAGCTCCGTTCTCCTGTGCAAGGCAACAAAAGAAGACCCAGCCGATCAGCTGGGACTCGGGAGGTGGAGAATAGATGGGGGCGGGGCCAGTCAGAGGTGGCATTGGCCGGTTCTCTGAACTACTCAAAATTTCTGCTACCAGTTTTCCAGAACTGGTCAGAACCTGCTGAATACCACCTCTAGTCTGCAGCTAAACAACCCAAGCTTGGAGAGAACCAAGAACTCCATGGCTCAGCCTCGAGCTACAGATATTCTTTTCTATTAGGCTGGCCCTACCATTAAGCCAAAATAACCTTCTCTACAGAAACATCCCCAATTTAGGGCAGATGCAACGTTAGGGAGTCTCCTTGCATCTTTCATGCAGCTCTAGGAACGTCAGAAGAGTTAGCAGCAATATGCACATTTTTCTATTTTTTTTTTATCAGATCTTTTTTTTTACTCACTCTGTTTCCTGCTTGCATTTGCAGCCTAGAATAGTTGCAGCAGGTTCGGGGAAAAGGGGGAGACAATTGGATCAGGGAAGAAACAGTTTTCCATTTTAATTTATTATAATCAAAGATCAGCAGAAGAAAACAGGAAAAGCGAGTCACGGCTGCTTGGCCTGTTGCTAAATTGGAGTTTTAAAACTTCAGCTTGTAATCTTTATTTATAACTCCAGAGATTGAATGCAGGGATGAGCATTCTTTCACTTTTATAGAATTATAAAGTAGAGTATAGGACCCGCTGCATGTTAAAAAAACACCTTTGTGCACAATTCTCCACGTCTTGCTATCTTTTTCAGGTTGTGACCATTTCTGCAAGCTATTTTTCCCCCCTACACATAATGCACTTTTCTCTAGGTGAGTTGCATCATTACGGCTGCTTCCTCATTAACACCACAGCTGCAAAATTCGAAATGAGCGGATTTCATTGTACAACCTAAATTTCAAAATTTTGGCCTATCCGTTTAAGAGCAAGGAGTGAAGACATTGCAAAAGGCATTTTTCCCCCTTTAATAAGGATCAGACTGAATCTATAAATAAATACAATAGAATGCAGAACTTGGAGACTAGATTGAAAACACCAGATGCTATGCCATTCCTGAGAGCAAGCAGGTGTTGGGTTTGTTCAACAATCTGGAGAAGTCAATACAGCAGTGATGGCGAACCCATGATATGCATGTCAAAGATGTCACACCACAATGTTTTTATGGGGTGGGGGAATGACACACATCAGCATTCATCAACACCCGACAACAACTTTTCTCAAAAAGCACTCCCCCCTCTTTCTCACATGATTTTCAGAGGCCGTATGAAAACAGGGTGCGTTTTCTTGTGCAGCTCCTGAGGCCTCCAGAAGTAAAGCTTATAAAACTCTTGTGAGAATGAGGTGTGCTTTTGTGAAGTTTTTGGAGGCTGCAGAGGCTGCAGAAGAGCATTCTTCGAAGCTGCTTCAAGAAGATTAGGGTGACATCATTCCCCAAAGGTCACGTGCCTGAAGAGTGGCACAAGGTGGCCTTCTTCCGTGACAGTGGTGGCACTAGAGTTGAAGCTGAGGCCTGGGGTGTTGAGAATTTTTTTTACTTTTGTGTTTCTCTCTGTGTCTCTCTGTCTCTCTGTCTCTCTTTCTCTGTCTCTCTTTCTCTCTGTGTGCGTCTCTCTCTCTCTGTCTGTCTGTCTGTCTGTCTGTCTCTCTCTCTCTCTCTCTCTGTCTCTCTCTCTCACTCTGTCTCTCTGTCTGTCTCTCTGTCTGTCTGTCTCTGTTTCTGCCTCTGTCTCTATCTCTCTCTTTCTCTGTGTGTGTGTCTCTCTCACTCTCTGTCTCTGTCTCTCTGTCTCTGTCTCTCTGTCTTTGTCTCTGTCTGTCTCTGTTTCTCTCTGTGTCTGTCTCTCTCTCTCTGTCTCTCTGTCTTTGTCTCCGTCTGTCTCTCTGTCTCTCTCTGTCTCTCTTTCTCTTTCTCTCTTTCTCTCTGTGTGCGTCTCTCTCTCTGTCTCTCTCTCTCTCTCTCTCTCTCTGTCTCTCTCTCACTCTGTCTCTCTCACTCTGTCTCTCTGTCCGTCTCTGTCTCTCTCTCTCTGTCTGTTTCTGTCTCTCTCTCTCTCTCTCTTTCTCTCTCTCTCTGTGTCTCTCTCTCTCACTCTCTGTCTCTCTCTCTTTGTCTCTCTGTCTTTGTCTCTGTCTGTCTCTCTGTCTCTCTCTGTCTCTGTCTCTCTCTTTGTACTTGTGGGGGGCGGGCAGGTGGGTACATGCTTGTATGCATATGCGTGTGACATGCCAGCAGAGTCATGTTGGGCAGTTTCCAAATTTTTGACACGCTAAGCCTACAAGTTTCACCATTCCTGCTATAGAGAAATCTACACGAGAAGGGAAAGTACACTCAAGAAATATCTATACCTACGGAGCATATTAATTACAAATGTTAGTAGTTCTCCTGCAGAGAAGCAGTGTGGAGAAACAATTGGCGCAGCACTAAAATTTTAAACAGCAACGGTTCACCTATTTGTATACCAGAGGACAAGCTGCCTTGTCTAAACCATCTTTTTCCAATATAATGCCTTACGGTTACGACTGGATGTTAATTCCAGATCTAGTGTGGCATAGCCGTGAAAAATGCTAGACAAGGATTTGCAGCCAGTCACTCTCTCTCCCCCCCAACTCACTTCACAAAATTTGCTCTTTGTGGGTCAAACAGGGGAGCAGCCAGTCCCACCTTCAGCTATATCAGTATGATATAAATCTGATTGATTTATTAATGTGCTATCAAGTCATGTTTGACTTCTAGTGACCACATAGATTTTTCTCCGTGGGAAAAAGAACCCCTGATAAACAAACTCCCATAATCATCCAGGCAGCATAAATACTCCAACAAAGAGTTGGAGGGGACTCATAGTTCAAAACCTTTGTAGGGCACCAGACTTGTGAAGGCTGTTCCCAAAACACATTCATTTTTGTGGCACTTCCCTGTTTTCTCTCTGTGTCATTTACCGGCTAGCTAGGCCACTATTTATGAAGAAGGAAGTGAAATGGCTCTTACCATTTGCAACTTGGGCAGCTCCTGTGAAAGAGATAAGAAAAAAAGGAGGCTGTGTTTGTTATCTAGTTTGTGACATCATTTAAGCAAGCCCACCCGTTCCTCCCCAATTCATTTTTTCCAGAGATGATACAATGAGTAGCTGCTCTAACACTGAGTTAGACCAACATAGGATTTCAATGGTGAAGGTGGGAGAAAGGAAAGGGAGACAGCCCGGTTATGCAGACCCAGGTTACACATGAGACACATTACAAGCAAGTAATCAATGAACTGATGTAATGTGCTAAAAACCTCATTGGGTTGGAGGCCTTCTGAGATTGCCTGACACTTTTCAATGTGTGCACATTTAGCAATGGCTCCCACTTCACCCCCACTGAATCCTATATCAACCTAGCCACTTGGATGACGTGAGCTGTAGCTCATGAAAGCATCTGCCATTTATTAATCAAGAAAAGATTCTGCCACACTCCGCCTATTTTTTATTTTTATTTTTTTGCCACCATCGATTATTCAGAAAGGGACTATAATAGAGCATTTATATCTACAGGTGAGTTTTAGGTCTGTAAAGCCATTAGAGAGGCAAAAACAATTGGTTCCCTTTTGTATCTTTTAATTGCTTTAATCTAGAGAAATAAACAGAGTAAAGATTCAACATTTGTGAAAGTAATTTGGATCATGGTGTTTTAATTTTTCTAACCTTTTTCAAGAAGGGGGGGAAAGAAAGCTCCCTCTGGCAGTGTTGAGAAGCAATTGTGTTGTGTTGAACGGAGTTGGAGGGGTTGCTCTTGTTAGTATAAACCTTCCGTTTCACTCAGCATAATTAACCGTGTTACTAAATCAATAAATTTTCTGAGATTGCGCAACGGGTTGAGTTATATATTAGCCTAGTGAGTTGACAGCACACTAGGCCACAAAAATGTAAGTGAGATTAAAATTATGCCACCTTTATGCCAGTTGTATGAATAGAGCTATTGTTTAATCTGCTAATTTGTGAGTGTTGATATCAGTGATATTTTCAAACCCAAAGACGCTGGTTAGAATGTCTTGGAAGTGTGTGTGGGGTGGGTGGGTGGGTTTCCATCTCCCATTTTATGTCTCTTCACTACCAACACCCCTAGTTCTCTCATGATTTAGAAGAGAAAGAGTAAGAGAAAAACACGGTATTTTAAATGTTTAAAATAAAAGATGTAAGGGAGGAGGATTAATAGTTGCTGTGCATATTGTAGCTGAACTGTTGTACACCATAAGCCATAACACATTTTCTCTGAGGACTGTATCACAGGGCTATTATATCATGCAGAGGGCTCAACTTGATGGCCGGCCCTTCCCTCCTTCCCTCCCACACATTGGGTTCTTTGCAACTGGTATGAAGGATTGTACATTTTTGACATAATGGAGCAGGAATACCAAGCCCATTACTGATAGCTGAACAGAGAATCAGAAGACCCAAGGAATCATTTTGTACTCATATCCTCATGTTGCATTTCCTGTGGTTGTGACACCCCAAAATTTTCCAGAGATTTTTTTCCCCATCTGAAACTGTTTGTTAAAGTGTCCTATAAGATTACAGGCTTTACAGAAGCCTTCCAAACCCTTCAGAGATATAGCAAACAGTGGTTTTAAAAAGATGGTCTGGGAGGCTGTAGTTAGAAAAGGGCCAACAGAAGAAGAAAAAGAAGGAGGAGGAGGAGGAGGAGGAGGAGGAGGGGAGGAGGAGGAG